CATGCTCCACCAGGCTGAGATTGACAGCTTTCTCTCAACATTAACTTGTAGAAACAGACTCAGAGAATTCTGAAATCTGCCCAGTCTCATATGGCAGCTAAGTGGCATCATGAATAAGCCTTTACTAGGAAAGCATTGTCTCTGGTGTTCTGTGGAGTGCTCGTAACCAGGCAATCTGTCATTTAGTTGGCACGTGCATCTTCCTGGACTGTGTTGACGATTCTCTCTTCCCCAACCCTGGCCTCAGCTCCTGGACAATCCCAAATTCCGAATCATCACCAAAATCAAAACCATTGGCAGCACCTATATGGCAGCTTCAGGAGTCACCCCAGATGTCAACACCAATGGCTTCACTGGCTCCAACAAGGTAACTAAACCACCCAGTGGTTAGAGAGGAGGTGGACTCTGCCCCAAGAAGAGATGGGCAGCTCATACTGAGCAGGGACGTTATCAGAGTAGTGATTATTAGGTACTTTGTGCCAAGTGGCCGCAGACACACACGCTAGCACCGTGCAATGCAAGTATAAAATAGGATTTATGGGCAAAGTTTTATGACTGTAACCACCATGGAACACACACATTCCCCTCACCATTATTCCACAGTACAGCCATCATTACAACAGAAGTTTCCACCGTCTTCTCTGCACGTTAACAGAGCTGGAAGCCAAGGTGCAATTATGTAACCATGATAGCTTCCACAAGGGAGAAGCAATTTGTTAGAAAAGGAGAGCCTTCAGACTGCCTTTTATGTTAAGCTAGCTCAGACCTGTTGAGCCAACTCTCTTTAGCTATGAAGAGAGGAAATGTGCTGTGGGACCTCCGCTGGGCTTACTATGCCCCAAGTAAAACATCTGTTTGCAAAAGGATTCTAAAACAGATCTTTACAATTGCTGCAAGATGTAAGTGCCAGTACCTTCTCTATTTTAAGGGTGAAGTAAGGTAGGCCTTAACCTTAAGGCCATGTGAGGCAGGCCATTACCTTCAAGTTGCTTAAAATGTAGCTAAAGAGTCAAAACTTGGGACTATATAAAATGTAGACAAGGTGGTGATAAGACCTGACTTGTGACCAAATATAAGAAAGCAGCTGAGCTGGGTGGATTTTCATTCCCTGCCAGCACTGCTCGTCTTTGTCCCAGACTAGCAGCACCTGGGTTTAGCTATTTGCCACAATGACAAATCGGAACTGGAGTTAGAGGTGTGGGGGACTCACTTCCCAGCAGGAAGGAGGGGAGCAGGCTGGGCAGTGACAGGCTTAGACCAGCCACTGATGCTTTCTTTCACTGTTACACTGTCTGACACAGGAGGAAAAGTCAGAGAAGGAGCGCTGGCAGCACCTGGCCGACTTGGCTGACTTTGCACTGGCCATGAAAGATACGCTTACAAACATCAACAACCAGTCCTTCAACAACTTCATGCTGCGTATAGGTAAGGGCTCCAGGCTTACCTGCTCCTTGATGTGCTTGCTTCTGAGACCGGGGACTCGGGGCAGACTGACAGGAAGGTCTAGAGACTTACAAAGACCTGAGGCAGCATTTCAGTTGAGGAGGTTCTCAGGGTCACAGAACTGGAAGCCTCTGCAGTTCGACTCTGACCCACAGAGACCGTCTAGGACAGAGTAGAACTGCTCTATAGTTTCTAGGCTGTACAGCCTTACAGAAACAAAATGCCACAGCTCTCTCCCTTGGAGCAAATGGTGGTTTCAAACCACTGACCTTGCAGTAGGCCCAATGCTTAACACACTGCACCACCATGGTTCTTCAGAAAGCTGGAAGGAACTGTAATTTAGTCATCTCTTTTCTAGGTGATCAAACTGAAATTCAGATTGTTGAAACCATGGTCAGTCATGTTAAATGTGAACAAGTTGGTTTTGACTCACAGCTACCCTGTATAGGGTTTCTGAGCAGCTGGTGGGTTTGAACCACCAACATTGTGGTTACAGTCTAGGGCTTATTTTATAGCACCACACCAGGACCGGTCAGCTATTGGGACCACATACTACTTAGTGTGGTGTGGTAGCCTGTCCTTCCTTTCTTAATCTGGCTGGAAATCCCAGTTCAGTGTCAACGTTTCCAAGAGGGTTTAGCTCACTTCAGTCCATCCTGTCCTTCCAAAGACTGTCAGGAGTTCATTCACTTGGGAGCCTCACTTCTCCTGGGTGAGGTTACCAGGAGACTGAGCATGTTGGTTTGTGATTCCTGCCCTCCTAAAGCTTAGTTTTGGGACAAATTTAACAAGGACTTTCTGGCATGCTGTATGAACAGGAGCTTGTGGTAGTACTGACAAGAGTTGGCAACTTTTGACACTGGATCTGGCCTGTGAACTTTCTACCTCTACCCCAGGCATGAACAAAGGAGGGGTACTGGCTGGGGTCATTGGAGCCCGTAAACCACACTACGACATCTGGGGCAATACAGTCAACGTAGCCAGCAGGATGGAGTCCACAGGGGTCATGGGCAATATTCAGGTATGTCCAGCGGCAGAGCTGCATGTGCACTCAAATTCAGGCAATGGGAATTTGTGTGTTTGCCATGGAACTATCTCCTGCTTGCTGGCCCCAAATACTAAGTCAGTAATGCTGAGATTACAGGTAGGAATGGTAAGAGATGCTTCTATAGCTATAGCTAGCCTGTTGAATGCTGTGAAGTCAGTTGCAATTCAGTGACCCAATCTTAGGATCTCCAAGGAGATTTTAACTCCCAACCTGTGGTTAGCAGTCCAGTGTTTATACTACAGTGCCACACTAGGACTCAATAGCTAACCTCAGGTGGTAAGTGCTGTCAAGTCAGAACCCCTGTATAGGGTTTCTGAGGCTTTACACCTTCATAGGAGCAGAAAACCTCATTCTCCCACAGAGCCACTGCACTCCCAGCGCAGGAAGTAATGATCCAAACCTTTGGCTGTCCTCTGAGATGAAAAGTCTCCTGCTGGAGAGCTCTAGGCAGATCGGCTATGGTCCACCTGCTGTGCCAGGGCCTTAACCTTGGGTGGTTTGGAGAACAGTGTTAAGGCCCAGTGTGGGTTAGGGTAGATTGGGATCTGTGGATCATCCAATTTTTAGTACCACCTGGGTCAGTTCTCAGCCATCAAGGCCCGTTTTGCCCTTCAGTCTTAGCTCTCAACTTTGTTCTCCTTCTAGGTGGTGGAAGAAACTCAAGTCATCCTTCGAGAATACGGCTTCCGCTTTGTAAGGCGAGGTCCTATCTTTGTGAAGGGGAAGGGGGAGCTGCTGACCTTTTTCCTGAAGGGGCGTGATAAGCCAGCTGCCTTCCCTAATGGCTCCTTCGTCACACTGCCCCATCAGGTGGTAGACAACTCCTGAGCGGCCACTAGTCTACAATAGTCCAACTGGGGAGGGAGAATTTATTGTGGGAACCAGAGAAAAGCTTTGGGACAGGACACATGGAAGTACATTCACATAGACTTTAGGTTTTAAACTCTCCTCAAGCCTTCATTTGTTCGTGGACCAGTGAGCTCTGAGGGTGGCCCTACTCCTCAGTGTGCCTGCAGCTTCTCTCAGAGAGTAGATCCTAGGCATAGTACTGAACAGTCCTCCCCGACCAAGCCCATTCCAACCAGTACCTTTCCCTCAGAGAGGCCTCAGCCACTGTAAGCAGGAGTGTCAGAGGGGGAGGCTCTTCCTTCAGTGAGCGCCCGGACAGCAGCACAGTGGTGCTGGCAAGTGCTCTGCTCCCAGCCAGTGCTGTCATTCTGAAAAGCTGTCGTTTTGCAAAAGAGCTCAAGCTGGAGACCTAGCTCCATCCAGTCCGAGTTAGGCTAAATGGTCCTAGTCCTGACGTTCCTGATAATCTTGAAAGGTTCTTCTGGAACCCGTCACACCTTGGTTATGAGAGCAGAAAGTGCAATATTTCCTTTTACCTGGTGGGAGGGGGAAGGGAAATTTATTTCTGAAAGAAAAATATATACACAGATCTTCTACATTTATATTTTTAACTTCCTGTTACAAAAAAAAAAAAAAACCTTTCCAATATTGCCTTGCCTTTTGAGCTCTTGCTACAGTCGCCTTTGCTACTGCTTTAAAAGAGAATTTACAGGTATTGATTTAAAAAGACTGTTTTATTAAAAGCTTTACTCAACTTGATTGTGATCGTTGTGAAAATCGTATAAATCCCTCCCACTGGTTCCCACCACGCATCTGGAAGGCAGGAGCTTTTATTCCTAAGTGACTTCTACAAGGTGGTCCACTGCCACGGGGAAAATGGCACACACCATTCAGCCCAGGAGAAAGCACAATCTAGGGTGAGAGGGACGAGATGGAGGAGGGTCTGCTTCCTTTTGTAACAATGACTATTTTACAGGCAGCTTTCCAACCCTGTTCTTTCACTGTTACCAAGTACCGTCACTGCAACCTTGTATAGGGTTTCTGGTGGGTTTGAACCGCCGACCTTGAAGTTCAAACCAATCCTGGCAGTCCAGTGCTAATCTTACAGTACTGACTTAAAAAATTCAGCTCTATTCAAAAATGATTTAGGAAAGAAAACATACAGCCCCTGATAATTTTACCCACAGTACTTTCTCTTTATAGAACTCCAAAGATAAATAAGCACACGTCCCTTCTTACCTATACAATTCACCTTGTAACATGTACCCAGAGTAACCTAAGAACTTCCTTTTCAAAAAAAGGTCTCAGAAAAATGAGACAAAATTATTTAAAGCTTCCAAAAAAGCCAGAAATGCTGTGTAATTTACAGGGTACGCATTCACCAAATGCTCTCTTCTATTGCCCCACAAACCAGTTTGATTTTCAGCTTAAATGGTCTGATTACATCACTTAACACCTCAAAAGAACCAGGTGACCTCAAGTATCATAAGTGATCAGACAATTGGAGAACCGCCCCCAAAACCCAGCGTCCAAGGACTCAAACCTGGCCCTATGCATCGTGATGAAGAGGTCCTCAGTGCAAGGACAGTCTGCGGATCAGTCTGGAACCGAAAACAGTACTGCTGTGCTCACTGGTGAGTGCTCTCGATGAAAACATTTTTTAGAAGAGCAGGCTCATCTCCAACTGCTCCCCACTTGCAAATGAAGTGAACACGTTATGTAGTGACTTTGTACGAAATAGATTCTCATGGGAGACTCGCTGTTCTTCCCATGAAGTGGATAATGCATCCGTCCCTAAAGAAGAAAAAGTATCAATCTTATCTAATGTATTTAGGGTATAAGAACCCGGAACACTAATTATATGCCGGACCCATGTAATTTTAGGGTAGGAAACTTTAAAATGGATCCTGTGCAACCTGTGGAAGCTACAAACTTTCTTCCCCCTGAAAACCATACATCCAGGTTTTCATTATTGCCAGGCCACATTGCAGTGCTACATTTGTACCAAAACAGGTTCACAACAAAGTCTCAGCCAGCTCTGAAATTTCCATTTATTTATTCTCTAAAGAACTAAAAATAAGTGTTCTGTATCGGGGCGGAATGACTTCAGAAAACTCATGGAAAAATTCTTTATATTTTTCATGAAGTTTTTGAAGACCCCTCATATTTGACTCCACTAATCATAAAGACTTGGCCTCAAGAGGCCTGAAACTGCCTTCAAAAGGGGTCTCCAACGAAAAGTAAATCTTTAGCTGAAAGAACCCTGGCAGAGTTAGGTGGGCAAAGAAGAGGGAAAATTAGGATAATTATGCTTACTATTTACAAACCAATGACACATTAGTAGAAACAGGGGAAATACTTCTTTTAATCTTACTGAGCAGTTATGGTGTGGAATCAGGTGTCTCAAAAAATTCACCTGATGTATTCCACCTGTTTTATACTCTTCAAACCAACTTGAGTAAGCCAGAGCAGATTGTAACTACTCCACTGAGGCATTCTTCCTCTTACCTTGATATGTAATGGTGACATCAGTTGGGAGAGTTACTGTGAGATCCTTATACAATAGTCTAGCACAAAACGGAAAAGTCTGGCCCGTTGGTTCCACTTTGTAAGTAAATGACAACAAGTTGCACAGTGAGTTTTTCTGCAAGGGCCCAGCCAGAAAGCATGCAAAATCATTCTAATGGAGGAGGGGTTCAAAACAAACACAGAAAACACAATGATTACAGCTCCCAAGGCATTTGTTGACACTTCAAAACATACCCATTAACAGGAGAATAGACAAAATGGGTTTCTCCATTAATCAAATTTCAGATAATACATGAAAGACAGAGAAAGGCTGGAAAAAAGTACTATAACAAAGATTTATAACGTAACTAAGAATCCATGGCAGCCTATAAAAGCCCTCAGAAAGCCGTTCTAAGTAAATGGCCAGGGTGAGAGGGGCTGCTATTTCTGCCAAGAATTTTTTTTAAAATATTTCACATGTGGGTAAGATCCTTCATGTCTATATCCACATATAAAGTTAAGTTGAACCTAACTTAAACTTGGGAGCTTCAAAGTCATTCCAAATGCACAGGGTGGGGAAATGGCTAAGCCAAAGAACCCCTTCCTTCTTCCCAGTGCCATTTATTTCCTGTCTACTACTTTCATAGTGACGGAGGTAGTGGTGGTGGTGAAGTGGCACTGAGTCAGTTCTCATTCATAAGACCCTGTAGAGTTTTCAAGGAACAGCTGGTGGGTTTGAACCACCAACCTGGCAGTTGACATTCCACCAGGACTCCCTACAGAGGTAGACCAGAGTTTTAAGACTGATCACATTTCCTCTGTGGTATTTAAAAAATCATTCTTTCTCCCTAGATTCAGTACAGCAGTAGGCACCTACAGCACTTGGCATTGTAGTAGATACTCAATAAATCCTTGTTGAATTAAAAATACAGCAACTATAGTGCTACTGGACACTGACAAAATGGGAGAAAAATGTGCAACCTCAAATCCTAAATAAACAAGACAAACAGACCTACTGGGCTGGTTGACACTAGAAGACTCCCTGAGACTACTGCCTTGGGATATTCCTCAAGCCTTGAGCCAAAACTAGCCTGTGATCACATTGAACCTAACCAACGAATTTACTCGAAAAATAAGTATTATCCGTAAGTACTATACTCCTTTTAAAAATCACATATGAGACCAAACAGTCAATAATTACTCCAAAACCAAGATGAGACTGTAAGGGGCAGAGAAATAAAACAAATGGAACGTAAATGAGAACGTTCATGTACCATGAAGAACGTAACCAATGTCACTCAGCAATTGGTGTAGAAATTGTTGAACATCTCAACTGCTGTGCAAGCCTTCACCACCAAGACAGTAAAAAAAAAAAAAAAAAAAAAGCTTTAAAAAAACAAAAAAAAAGCTCAGCTACTATATATACTCATACTCTCATGCTTTCGAAGGGGAAGACATGATCAAGGATACACGCTTCATGAACAGCTGTTTGAGAGGGAGCAATCAGTTAACCAGTAGCCATGCCTCAACATCACTTGTAGAGTGTCAAAGGCTAAGAAGAGATGGTGGGAAAAATATATGCATGAGAAGAACAGTGGGCAAATATCTGGCTCAAAGTTATGAAACAACAAATATATAAAAGAACAGTTGTCCCTTTTTCCTTTTAAGCTTATCCTGGGCCCTTATGATGAGCTATAGAAGATTGTAGACAAATGATACCTGAAGTCGATCTGCCTGGAACTTTCTCCCAGCATAGGCATTTAGGTATTCGCAAAGACTGAACAGGAAGTGCTGAATATCCGTCTGTAAGTATTTTGCAGCTATGTCTTCTAAAGGAATGAAAACTGGAACTGAATGGTGATGTATCCGAAGCGGTTTCTGTATGACAAGGTCCACAAAATAGGAATCCAGGAGGTTCCCCTCAAAAGAAGTACTGATACAGATGCAGACTCCTCGGCTGGTCAGTTTACCACTGAGCCCTGAGACAAACAAGACAGTTCCTCTCAACAGGTGGCAGGAATGGTCACACACTTTCTTCTCTCTGCAGGCCCGGAGCTCCCGCAGTGCTGTGTCTACAGTACATGCTCAAACGCTTGTTGAATGAAAGAATATCATAGGCTCTTTCTTCCCTTGATTCTGGCCCACTTTATCAACTTGAGTTGTCAAAACCACAGAATAGTGGGAAAAAACAACACAAGGACTTCCAAATACCAAATTATTAAGGAAGATCACTTTGAAGTTTTCAATTTTTCTTTTTTTTTGAATTTCAACTAATCTATGATAGCCCTCAATTCTTCCTACAACCACTGAGTGAGATAAATGGGAGAATAAATTCCCATTTTAATTGTAAAACTGAGCAGTGGCCTAGAGCCAGTCAGCAGCAGATGAAGTTCTAGAACAGGCTTTGGCACAGAATGAATAGCTTAAATCAATAGTCTAAGCCAGCTACCAACCAATCTTCTGCTATACAAAGGCCAGTTTTGGATGTAAAAGTATGTCTACAAATAGCACGCCTGCTTTGTGAATGTGTGCTGGGGCAAAAAGAGAAAAAAATAATCATGAAATGGGTCCAAGATAAATAAGACAATCAGCAGAGTTGTATTTTTAACAATTGATTAGAGAGCAAGAGACCTAGTCTGAATCAGATCAGAAAAAAAATAAACAAACCTGTAAACCGGTAGGCCTGTAGAATGGCTTTCATGTTCTCCCGTTTTGTCTCTAAATCTTCTCTTTCACTTGTCTTTAATGTTTGGTCATGTTTTGCACTGTCAGCTGATACTTCAACCTGCAAGACAGGCAGCAAATCAAACTGGGAACAAGGGACTGGAACACAAAGTCCCCACCTCCACCTATCTCTATAGAAGCTAACTGCACAAAGAATTCTTTACTAGGTATTTGCATCAAAAACTGTTTCAAGTGGCCAACCCAACAGTGTTACAAACTCACAGCAGAGGAAGCATTGTGTGACTCACAGTGTAAGATATCATGCTGGCCTGAAGCACCATTAGGATTTGGGTGGGAATACAGAATATTGTGAGGAGGAAGACGTGTGTCAGTAAAATCTAGGGTGAGCACAGATTGAGCGTAACAAATGGTTGTGAAGAAGCAAGGCTGGGACAGTTGGTTTGGATCAGACAGTGCAGCAAGGTGTCAAGTGCCAAGATGCGAAATTTTGACTTCAAGACTTAAATTTCCAGCTTTGACACAGACAATGGTATCAGACTAACCTTCCCTGAGAACACCTAGACAAGCTGGCCAAAGTACCAAAACAAATACACAAGCAATCAAGCAATAAGAAAACAGGTGAAAGGCATGAGAGAGCAACCAAAATACCCAGGATGAATGACTTAAGATAAATGCTCCGAAATTAGCTGAGCCATCCCTGCAGCTTCCCCCTTAGGAAAGCTGTAGATTTGTTTATAAGGCAGATGGCCTAATGGAAAGTGCAGGCTAGGCTTTGCAAGTAGTCTCACTGTGTCAGGGAGACAAAAACTAGAGTCCAGTGTTACCAAAGCAGCCATTCTGTGGGCCAGGATTCCATAAAAAAGGGAGCCCAACACTCTACTGGCAACTTGCCGTCCTGTCATTTGCCAACTTCTAAACTGCATGTGTGAGTGGGTACTGAGAAACCAGGCAAAAAGAAGAGACTGAAAGATTAAAAAGCTAAACAGAGATGTTAGCAGTCTCACCATATTGGGAAATAAAAGGTATAGTTCAGGGCCTACTAATGGAGAACGGTCTGAAAGACCTGTGTGCCCTGCTCCTCATTGCCCTAGACTTTCAATCAACAGTTCTAACGAGCAGGCTACTGCAACAATCCTGGGGCACAATCACCTGAAAAATATCAACAGCAGGTATGGATAATGCTTGACCTATGGCAACACAATGGGGGAGGAAGCCAAAAGACAATCTAAACAACAAACTAACAGATCTTGCTGAGGGGTCCTGGGCCAGACAGAGACTAAGAAGAGGGAAGGATCAAAGTTCATGATGAGGTTTTAAGTGTGGGTGACAGACAAAGATGGTATTAATGGCAAAAGTTTCAATGACTCCCATCAGGCTGAGATTGACATAACAGGCTTAGATGTCTATGTGGGCAGGTCAAGAAATTTACGAAGAACTCGCCCAGCCCGGACAGCTATCAGCAGACACTAGCATTAGCTGCAATGCAAAGCCTGTCAACATCATACTTTACTCACCCTGGCTTGCCGTTGCTTCACTTCAGCCCTCAGCTTATCTCGTATAAGTCTCAGTTTACGAATCCTGGTGCTAAGAGTACTTCCCTCTGCCTGTGCTGTCTGTGGTTCAAGTTGTTTCTGAGATCTGTTCATCTGAGTCTCCAGTCTTTCCAAGTGAGCTAACACACCTGAGGAAAGAAGAAAGGGAACTGCACAAGAAGCTAAAGGTTTCAGAGAAGACAGAAGAGTGACCTCTTCAGAACTTGTGGTCAGCTAAATAGTTAAAGACACTTACCACAATGTATATATAATTAAGCCAGAGGAGCTGACACCAGAATCCCATGATCCACCTCTCAGTCTGAACAAAGGTGTACAAACTGTCCCAGAGAGCATGAGATTAAACAGTAGTTATTTTATCAAGGTCTACAATTTATCATGAAAGTACACCTCTAGCATACTTTCACGACTTTACCACAGATAGGAGACATCTCCCTTGAGAGACGTGTACTATTAGTTATCATACTGTGTCTGAGTTTCTTACGTGAACACAGCATCTATTCTGTAGAGTTCATAAAGACATATATATACAAAGGGACTTCAAAAAGGTCACAAAAAAAAAATGGAATTGAAAGATAAAAATAAAAAACATACTTTCTCAAATTAAGTGCCATCAAGATAAAGACGCTTTTGTAAGTGATGACTGTTGTTGTTAAGTGCCGTCGAGTCGGTTCCAACCCATAGCGACCCTGATCAGGGTTTCCAAGGCTTTAAATCTTTACGGGAGCAGAAAGCCTCATCTTTCTCCCATGGAACAGCTGGTAGTTTTGAACTGCTTACCTTGAGGTTCAAAGCCAGATTCGTAACCACTATGCTACCAGAGCTCCTTATATCAGGCATTTAATCCATCCCTAAAGAACTGAATTGTATCTAGAGTTATATCCTTTCACCATATTTATTTAATCTGTATATGTGGTTGTTATTAAATGCCCTCGAGTCAGTTCCAACTCACAACAAAACTGGATGGGTTTCTGAACAAATAATCTGAGAAGCTGGATTACATGATGAAAAACATAGCATCAGAAGTGAAGATAGATTCATTAACAACACACAATATATATATGATACAACCTTGCTTGCTGAAAGTAAATAGGACTTAAAATACAGGTGAACAGTCTTCAGTATGTATTGCACTACAATGTAAACTAAACAAAAATCCTCACAACTGGGCCAATAAATAACATGATATATGGAGAAAAGATTGAAGTTGTCAAAGACTCCATTTTGTTGGCTCCACAATCCACACTCATGGAAGCTTCAGTCAAGAAATCAAACAACATACTGCGTTAGGAAAATCTGCTACACTAAACCTCTTTAAAGTGTTCAAGAGCAAAGCTATCAGTTTGAGGACTAAGGTGTGCCTAATCCAAGTCACGGTATTTTCAGTAGCCTCATATGCATGTGAAAGTTGGACAATGAATAAAGCAGACAGAAGAATTGATGCATCTGAGTTATCATGTGGGAGAAGAATATTAAAAGTGCCATGGACTGCCAGAAGAACAAAACAAATCTGTCTAAGATGAAGTACAGCCATAATGCTCCTCAGAAACCAGGATGGTGAATGAGACATTTCATGTCTCGTACTTCAGACATGTTATCAGGAGGGACCAGTCCCTGGAGGGCATCATGCTTAGTAAAGCACAGGGTCAGCGAAGGAGATGACAACCCCCAATGAGATGAACTGACATAGTGGCAGCAGCAATGGGCTCAAACACAACAACAATTGTTAAGGATGGCACAAGGTCACTATGAGTCGGAACCAACTCATGGAACCTACCAACAGCAACAAAGAACTGAGGGGGCCCAGGAATGTAACCATGTCAATGCAGTCTTCTTTACATTACTAACTGAAGAAAAATGGGTGCTCTTTAAAGATTTTTTAAGATTAGAAAATAAAAAGTCAGAAGGGGCTGCCTAATGATCTTTCATCGAAACACTGCAAAATTGCCCTTGTTTGATGAGCGAAATGAGCACTAGTATTTGTCAAGGTGGAGAAGGACTGTCTGGTGAAACTTACCCAGGTGTTTTTCTGCTACTTTGGCTACCTTTCTAAAAAACTCTCATAATAAACAGTTTTTGTTGTTCTTTGGCCCTCCAGAAAGTCAACAAGAAAAATGCCTTGAGCATCTCAAAACACTATTGCCATGACCTTTGCTCAACTGGTCCATTTTTGCCTTGACTGGACCTCTTCCACCTCTTGGTAGCCATTGTTTTATTGTGCTTTTTCTTCAGAATAGTACTGGTAAAGCCATGTTCATCTCATTAGAACTCTTTCAAAAAATGCTCCGGGATCTTGTTTAAAATTTCCACTGAAAGCTTTGACCTTGTCTATAGCTGATCTGGGCACAAGAGTTTAATTTTCAGTCAGAATTGTGCAAACTGAACCAGATTAAATGTCTATAATGTTGACTATTGTATCTACTGTTAATCACTGGTCCACTTCACTTCAAGCAAAAAAAAAGATGAACTGTTTTCTAGCAAGCTGATGTGGATGGTCTTCAACATTGTCTTATCCCTTCTTAAAACTAGTCATTTATTTGTAAAGTGCTGATTTCATTGAGGCACTGTCCCCATAAAATTTCATAAAGCATCAATGATGTCGGGCATTTTCCCACCCAAGCTTCACCAAATTCTGCTTCAAATTTAGCAAAATTCATGTTGCGCTGAGAAGGGCTTTTCAAAATGCCGTCTTATCCTTCTTAGTGCCTCAAACTCGATCCTGTTTAGACATTCTGTAACAAGTTAATGGGTTTATTCTGACACACACAAAATTTTGAAAACCCTGCATAGATTTTTTTTCAGAATATGCATTTTGCATGAACTTTCTGGTGACCCCTCCCTGTATGAAAATCTTAACCTACTTTCCTTGCCTTGGAACAGACACAAAAAAAATCTTGTTTCATTACCTATTAAGACTGTTGTTATTATTAGGTGCCATCGAGTCAGTACCGACCCACAGCAACCTTATACACAGCAGAACGAAACACTGCCCGATCCTGGGCTAACCTCACTACAGTTGCCAAGCTTGAGTCCATCGATGCTGCCACTTGGCCAATCCATCTCTTTGGGGGATCTTCCTCTTTTTCTCTGACCCTCTACCTTACCAAACATAATTATCCTTCTCCAGCAACTGGTCCCTCCTGACAATATGTCCAAAGTATGAGACACAAAGTTTGGAAATCTTGGCCTCGAAGGAGCACTCTGGCTGCGCTTCTTCCAAAACGGATCTATTGGTTCTTTTGGCAGCCCATGGCACTTTCAATATTCTCCTCCAACACCGTAACTCGAAGGCATCAATTCTTCTATGGTCTTCCTTATTCACTGTCCAGCTTTTGCATGCATATGAGGTTATTGAAAATACCATGGCTTGGGTCAGGCGCACCTTAGTCCGCAAGCTGACATCTTTGCTCTTCAACACTTTAAAAAGGTCTTGTGCGGCAGATTTGCCTAATGCAATAATACATCGTTTGATCTCTTGACTGCTGCTTCTGTAAGTGTGGACAGGTGATCCAAGAAGAATGAAGTTCTTGACAACTTCAATCTTTTCTGTTGATAAGAATGTTGTTTATTGGTCCAGTGGTGAGGATTTTTGTTTTCCTGACATTGAGATGTAATCTAAACCGAAGGCTATGCTCTTTGATCCTCATCAGTAAATGTTTTTAAATCCTCATCACTTTCAGCAAGCAAGGTTGTATCATCTGCATATCGCAGGTTGTTAATGAGTCTTCCTCCAATCCTGATGCCATCTTTTTCTTCATAGAACCCAGCTTCTCAGATTATTTGTTTAGCATACAGGTTGAATAAGTATGGTGAAAGAATACAACCTTGTCGCACAGCTTTCTTAACTTTAAGACATTCAGTGTTCCCATATTCTATTCGAATAACTGCTTCTTGGTCCAGGTCCAGATTCCTCATGAGCACAATTAAGTGTTCAGGAATACTCATACTTCGCAATGTTGTCCATAGCTTGTCATAACCTACACAATCGAAAGCCTTTGTGTAGTCATTGAAGCACAGGTAAACATCTTTCGGATATTCTCTGCTTTCAGCCAAGATCCATTGGACATCAGCAATATCCCTCGTTCCACAGCCTCTTCTGAATCCAGCTTGAACCTCTGGAAGTTCTCTGTCAATGTATGATTGTAGCTGTTTCTGTATTAAGACTAGAAACCTCAACTCTTTTATAGCTGGTTTGTAATCCAAAAAATATATATATTTATTGTAAAGTACAAACAGATACACATGAGATGTATTGTTGTTGTTGTTAAGTGCCATCCAGTTGGTTCTGACCCATGGTGACCTTGTATAAGGTTTCCAAGAAGCAGATGGTGACCTTCAACCTCAACCAAACTTGAGGTTTGTAAGACGTTGTAATCCAGCACATTAACGCACAAAATTCTGTATTCTTTTATTTATCATTACTCATTAACTTCTATCCCCTCTTGTTTTCTCAGAACACTTGGACTATCAGTTACCCCTGTCTCTCCCTTATATTCATTCAGACACTTCCTCTCAACTTTTCCAAGTGTCTAGCATCTTAAAATGTTCACCAGACAAACAATACAGATCCGGTCCTGTCCACTCTACATTTCCTTCTCTTCCACTTCAACCCACTCTAAGTTGACTTCTGCTCCCACAAAATTACTAAAATCAACAGTGACTTCCATGCTACTAAATACAATTGACACTTTCCAAACTCCATCTTACCTAACATCCTAGTAACATGATTCTACCGATTTTTCCTTTTTGAAGGTCTCTGGCATTGAATCATATCCTATCAGTCTCCTGACTTCCTCATTCAACAAATATACATTAAGCATCTAATTTTACCAGGCACTTTTCTAGACAGTGACGAACAAGAGGCAAATGCCTGCTTTTGAGAAGCTTACATTTGATCTCTATGACCTCTCCGATGATCAGACCTAAGGCCTATTTTCTCCTGAAGATGTCTCATCAGTATCCACACACAGATATGTACCTCTAGCTTAAGATTTTTCCCTGAGCTTTAGACCAAAATATCTACCGACTTTCTCAGTCTCTACCTGGAAGTCATAGAGGACCTTTACTGTCAACATATCCCAAGACTGCATTATCATCATCATCTTCTTCCAAATCCCTCAGTGACTGCAACCATCATCCACCTAGCTGTACAAGCCAGATATTTAATTTCATTCTTAATACTTTCTTCTCACCTCTATCCTCAATCCATCACTAAA